CAGAGTCACAAAGCGGTTTACAATTGTTATTTTTGGGCATTTGTCTCTCACTCCACACAGAGATGGGAGCGGGGTCGCCAGAACAAGTTCTTGTCTGTCAGGCGCAAGGGCTGCTTGTGTGTGTCTGTGGGAACTAATTATTATAACATAGTCTCTTTCAATTGCAAGTTTTGTAATATGTTTTGTTTAATCATTGTATAAAAAAAAAAATGCACTTAAATTTAAATGGCACCTTGGCCTATCTTATTATTACCTGTGTGCTGAGGGACAGTTCCCGAAACTAACATATAATACTAATACTAAAATAGGGTGGGGTTGTTGCAACAATTAATCTACTTAGAAGTTATCCTAAATTACAACCAGCTAAAGCTCGGTACCACGACAAACGAAAAAGTAACGCAATGGTTACTTTTACTGGTAACTAGTTACTTTTTCAAAGTAACTTACCCAACACTGGCTGGTAAATGCACAGAGACATATGAAGACACGGGAAGTTTCAGGTTAGCCTCCGCCGCTTGTTTACTTCAGTTGCCTGTCTGAGAGAGACAGGCACATCATCAGTAGAGTAAAACTAACCTGTCTCCATCCATCCATCCATTTTCTTCCCCTTAATCCATCTCTGGGTCGGGGGGGTGGCAGCCAGAGCTGCACCCAGTACACTTAGCACCAGCCCCTCACTGATCCTCCTGCAGGTGGTGAGTCCACAGGAGCCGAGATCTTTCAGTGGGAGCTTCAGGCAAAGTGGGGTCAAGTGTCTTGCCCAAGGACACAACGACAGCAGTCATCAGTGGGAGTCGTGAAGTAGGTCTTATGGTGGGCTCGAACCCACGACCTTCAGGCCCAAAGACCAATGCTCTACCAACTGAGCTACTGTCGCTACCTGTCTCACTACGGTCTAATCCCAGCTCACAATCCCTATTAGTGAGAAAAGCCACAAGAGACCTGTGGCTTTTCTCAAGAAAGCGGGGGCCAGTGGTCCGCTGTGATTGGTCACAATCTGGACCCGAAACAAATTCTCTGTTTCACGAAAACTCGATCTAAAATAAAATGACACGCCAGCATAAATCTTCTTTTTCTTCAAAAGGACGTATATCTCAATGCACTGCATGGATATGGATTGAATTTTTGTAATGAATAAAAAAATAAAGTGAGATAATGCAGCTTTAAGTTCTTCTTTTCCTTCTTTTGATTTCCGGCAGACTGGGCGCCTCTCAGCGCATTGCTGCCTTTCGCGGCCGGAGAACACACTGCAGTTACAATACAATACAATTTATTCTTGTATGTCCCTAAATCACAACAGAAGTCATCTCAGAGGACTCAACAAAACCATTGAAATCACCAACACAGATCAGAGAATCAACAGTTAAGACACATAAAGAATATAGAACACATGTTAAAAAAATGTCCATACATGTTGCAGAATGTTAAAGTGTTCACTTTTACAGGCTACGTATGCGTATCACGAAGTGGTGGTCAGCCGAGCTAGTTGTTCACTAGAGCAGCGTGTCTGAATATGCCTTTTGCATGTGGTGTTTTAAGTTTTCTAACCGATCGAATCGCGAAACTTTTAATGGATACTTTAGGATTCCTCGTGAAGAGATTAATAAAGAGCCTTGCACTCAGGACTTTACGAAAAGACGCAGGAAAAGTGACTCGCTAACATTTCACTAGCAAACGCTTTTACCTCGAAGGATTATTTATTTACCCAGCCGTGCAGTCACAATGCGCCCTTATTACATCCCCATTTTTATTTAATTAATTGTCAGGTATGAGTTGGAGTTTTAAATAATCACTGTGAATGTTTGACCTGAAAAGAACACAGCCACAGACGCATTGTTTTGTTGAGTTCATTCACCAATCTTTACTTACACGGCTCTTTACGATGCAGGATTTGTCCTTCAGGACCTTTACTGAGTTCCTTAACCCACAGACAGATGGAAAAGTTGCAGCATCCATGTTTTTCCAAACCTTCATTTGTTTAGCAGTGCAAAAGCTTGATTGTATCACTAGCTCCTGGATTAGAATCTAAAGTGAAGAAAATGACAGTCTAGGATCGTGTCTTTAATTCAGACAGAAGACCTGTTTTATTGTCGATGGTAGAGGCAGCATAAACAAAGACGTTACAGAATGTAAGTGACATACAGCGGAGGAATGGAGACTTATTAGCTTTATTAGCATATTAGCATTTGCCGCGGTGCCAGCAGCTTCAACCTCGATATTACCAAAACATGTGGTGGAAAATTTCTGCCTTGAGCATATTGTTAGAATGATGAGCTAGAACGTTCACCACAGTAGCTTCAAAGTGTCATGAAATATCCAAAAAAGCAAAAAAATACTCGGAAGAGTCGCATTTTCTCCATATTTCAGCAGCAACTCTTGCTGACCTGACCACCACTTCGTCAACCGGACGTTTATGCGTCACGTGATTGCAAGCAAGCAATTGATCCATGCTTCTTGTCTGTTCAAAAAATGCAGCGCAGCTGCATACACGAAGTCCAAGACCATTTTTACCACCAAAGAAACAGAAAACAAAATAACTATACACCCCAGTGCTAATCCCCATCCCAAACCCTTCTCCCAATGTTCTCTTTCAGTGTTGCCTCCAAATCCTCTCCAGTGATATCTCTCACATCCAGAATATTTTGTGCAGCATCCAGAATCATATTTACATGGTCCAATTTTTCATGAAGCGCTGATGCACTGTTGATGATGAAGGCTATGAAAGTCAGGAAGCACATTTTATTAACACACAAGAAGTTTCCTCTCGAACTTTTATTATTCTCTTCTCACACTGCCTTAGCACGCTTTACTGCATCTGTATGTAAAACCTTCGCCTCTTCTCTCAAACGACACACAATTGACTTCAAGCTGTTTCCGTGGACAGTCCATAGATCCAGTACGATGCTTTCCAGAGCAATGTACACATTCAGGTTCTTTGTTAGTCATTTCACAGTCCTCATTCACATCTTGCACATCTTTAGTTCCCCTGCAGACAGCGGCCACATGTCCATATCCTTGGCAGGAAAAACACCTCAAAGGGCCCCATTCAAAAGGCCTCACTCTGTAGGACACATTATCTAAATACACCCGCTGTGGCAACTCTCCTTCAAATAATAACGACACAGATTCACTCATTTGTCTCCATCCGTCTCTGACTCTAAATAGCCTCCTGGCATCACAAACACCAAGGATGCATTCCAAATCTTCCACTTCCACACTGGTAGGGACTCCACTAATCACTCCCTTCACTCTCTTCTTCCCACTAAGTGAGAAACAGTGAACTAGCACATTGTTGTACTTATCAATCTTTAAAGCTTTCTCTTTCTGATTTCGAGAGGCACACTCTATGACGACCATCCCACTTCTTGTCACTCGGACTGGACAGTTTCCTCCCAACTTTCGAACAATGCTCTTCACTAATGCGTGCGGATCACTGAAAATCCCATCTTCTTTGGTGATAGCAGTCATACCCACAGGAAATGTCTCTCCCACGCTTGACGGACCAGATTAACTCGAAAAACTTTTCTTTTTCCCCTTTTTGTGCTCCATTACCTCACTGGTATCCCCACTTTCGGATTCCCGCGCTGACTCCATTTCCTCCTGCTCCGGATGCATGGTTCTCACCATCCTCCCGTCGTGACCCGACAGTGACTCACCCCCAGCTTTAAGTTGGCTGGAACCATAGACTGTAAATATAAAGCTGGAACACAATATGCGGTGAAAGAAGCGAGGAAAAAGAAGAGGACAAGAGAAAAGGAAATAACGCCATCTCCTGGTAAAAGCCTGCAACTGCACCTTGTATATTTGTTGACATATCCTGACTGTCAACAAGGGCTTTGAAACAGTGTTAGGAGTCAAAGCTCTTAAACCTAACTTTAACCAAAAAAACAGTTCCTTTCTCTCAAAACAGTTTGGTTCTATAATTACTTTCCCCATGCATGGATTTTGGCCCCTGTCACAGGCAGCTCTAGTTCAGCTTTTTCAGACAGAAAAGTTAACCAGCTCTCAGCCCAAAGCGCTCTTTAAGAGGTCAAATCTATTCGGGACATTTTACTGATACAATTCTATTCACTCTCTATGAAAAACTAAGTACCCCAGCTTTAAAATGTATCGTTTCATGTTTTGATAAGGAATACGTTTATGTATTTATTTTATTTTTTTTATCAATACAAACTCTTGTAGAGACAACCAATTACGAGGCTTCAAGAAATAATAGAACAATTAAATTATACAAATTCACAAAATAGACGCACAAACAATATATAAAATAGACACATTGTTCAATGCACAATACAATACAATTTGTTCTTGTTTTTCCTTAAATCACAACAGCATCATATCAGAGGATCTAAAATAAAATTACACGCCAGCATAAATCTACTTTTTCTTCAAAAGGAGGTATATCTCAATGCACTGCATGGATATGGATTGAATTTTTGTTATGAATGCAAAAATAAAGTGAGATAATAAGTGAGCTTTATGTTCTTTTTGTCGTTCTTTTGAATTCCGGCAGACTGGGCGCCTCTCAGCGCATTGCTGCCTTTCGCGGCCGGAGAACACACTGCAGTTACAATACAATTTATTCTTGTAGGACTCAACAAAACCATTAAAATCACCAACACAGATCAGAGAATCAACAGTTAAGACACAAAAAGAATATAGAACACATGTTGCTAAATGTCCATACATGTTGTAGAAACAATACAACACCATAGTAGTACATTTTCAGCAAACTGGTAGATTATTTTGATTCAGATTGGTTTATTTCAGACAAACACACATTTACATTCGTTTTAAACACAGATATTATAAGGGCCAGAGCTTTTCCCCTGCTCCGTTGTGTTTAACTTTTACGCACGTGACTGTGCACGCCATACACAGTGTACAGAGCCAAAAAATGATGCCACAAAAATGTAAACAAATGTCTCCCTCCTCTCGCTTTTATACATCTAGCAGGCCCTCTTCTCTCGGGCACAGATCCGTGGACAGAGCGCACTCACATGGCCAACCCCACACGCCCTATTTGGGGGAGTCAGGTCCACGGGTCTGCCCCCTCTGTGCGCTCATTGGGGCTTCTGTTCTCGAAATCTGCCCCTCGACTCATATTCAGCTCAGCATTTTGTTTTAGCTGCAGAAAGTTGATGCGTTGAAGATTGCATTTCTAGAAAGTTTGGTTTGATTTTCTTTACTTTTACGCGCGAGAAAAGGAGAGGAGAAGAGGAACGGAAAAAGAAGGACTTGGTTGTAACTCTACTCCGCAGCGGGACCGTGCTGCTGTCAGCCTGGTATGTGCGCCCACAACACGGCTTTTATTATAGACACCATGTGATTAAGCTGCGTCAACTGGACATGCAGAGACCAGTCATGGATCTATGCAGAGACCAGTGCGTTATCTGTACGCTACAGATGCATGGCTCACATGTGCCATCAGATATGTTTGAAGTCAACAGATAAACAATCACAAAACACGTGTAAGTGGATGAATGCAGAACTGCAGGACAACGCTATGGGCAGGACACAGTGTATTTGAAGTTAAGTATGGATGTTGGAGTCCTTGGAAATAAATATAAAAGCTTTACTTAGTTTTATGATTGCACTGAAAAAAACATCTTCTATTACTTTAGATCTCGCCCTTCCACAAACTCGTAATTTTTTTGTTTATTTGAGTTGCTTCTTTAGTTTAGTATGGAATGGAACCTATATTTATGGAGAATAATGCATGAAGATAGATATGTATGATTTTACGTTTCTGTTTGTTGTTACCTCCTCATGACTGACCACATCCTTAGAGTTATACTATATTAAACACAAAACCAAACGTTTGAAACATCTCTATAGTTAAGATAAGTGCTATTAGAAGACAAAACAATAACATTTGGAAACACACAGGAGACTTCAATCAAGGCCAAGCGAGTCAGATTTGGTGAGAATAAAGCCCACTCACACAATGTAAACACTTTAACACTTTAAAGTACATTTTCCATTGCGATAAAGACATCCAAAATACATTTTAAACTGTTATCATTGATGAGAGTAAGCTCTAGTGGTTTAAAGCTGGGGTACCTAACTTGTTTTCTGAAATGATCCATGTTATTTGTCCCACAGAAAGAGTCTTGTAAAATTAAAATCTATCAGAAAACACTTTGCACTTTTGCATGTTTGTTAGAAAGAGCCCTGTGAGTCTATTTGTCTAAAGCCCCGTTTCTACAGAGGAGCTGTGGGCACGCTGCAAAGAAATGAGCAAAAACATCCAGGCTCCTGCGCAGCGTTTAGATGGAAATAATGTAGTTCTAGCGCCCGGCCAGTAGGGGGCAGTGGAACTTTACAACACGAAGCACATGACCCCCAGCAGTTTATTCACTTCCTCAACAACATCCTCCTCGGGCGCCGCAAACATGTGAAAGAACCAAAATCATTCTGTATTTAACGGCAGCTGTGAAAATGGAAACTGAAACTACAGCTTCTCGTGGTTTCTTTTGGACGAACGAAGGAATAGAATTCTCCTCCGTGTAGCGCTCGAAGCACACAAAGCTAGTTAGTGTACCCACCGCCATTGTTGTTTACGTTTGTTCTATTCTATTTTATCTGTGTATGTCCAAATGTACGTGTGTGAAGTGGAGGTCATAGCAGCAGAGAATTCACACCTTTTTCTCCATGTGGATGTGAAACAGCCCCACCGCACAGCGTATCTGTTCTGTTCCACTCTGGAGGCTGTTTCTCAACGCTCACGTTTTCACCTGAAACACGTCTCCATGTAAACAAAAGGCCAAACCGATACCCAACTCTAACGTTTTACAGTCGCAGCGCCTCCGTATAAACAGGGCCTAACCCTTTGGCTGATTGGTGAAGTGAAGCTGGGCCTCTTTCTCACTTTTCTGTCTGAAAAAGGTGACGTAAAGATGTGAAACGAACAAAGCCTGTGTGTGAAATATAGTGATCTAGAACCAAATGGTTTTGAGACGGAGGAACTAGTGAGAAGGATTGGATTTCATAGTTACATATATTGTGGTTTGAAAGTTAAGTACCCCAGCTTTAATATAGACGTACCATGACTTATATTATGCCTTGGTAGAGCTGATCTTGGCCTGTGTTTTTGGTGGGAGTAAATCACCAGGCTGTGTGCATGATATCAGATTCTCCTGTTGTGCAACAGTGTGGAGTCTGTGTGAGGGCGAGAGTAACATGTGAAAGTATGTGTATGTGTTTGCACAGAACTGAAAGCATATCTTGATTTATGACTGCACAAAAGCCTTGTTATAGACTTCTGCTACTGTGTAAATGCCTTCAAAATGAGCAGGCGGGATTACTTTTACTCACATTGGACATGTCCCACACATGACCAGTGTCAGCAGCTGGGCCCCTTCAGGCCCTGTGTTCTTTGGGAAACTGTAATGTGTGTAACACCAGCCTATTAGCGCATTGTGACTAATATGTACTTAAAATCCTTAGAATCATTTGATTGTATTGGAGATAAGTTTAGCTTTTGCTTCAAAAATAATTTAATTGAATATAGAAGTGAGCCATGTTTTTTATTAATATTAAAAAAATATTTACAATAATTTCCAGCGAGAGAATTATTACAAAAAAAATGCTCTAGTGACTCAATAATATATATACTGTATATGTTTTTTCCCTATAATATTACCGTAGTGTTGCCGTGTAAATCTGTCTGGTTGAATACTGAGAGAAACCAATAGGGCTGGGTATATTCCAAAGCTGGCCGATACTATGTATGTATCCTGATCATAGATACACATGATACCATACATTAATACAAATTATTAATAATAATAATACATTTTATTTAAAAACGCCTTTGGAAATACACAAGGACACTGTACAAACATGGTTATAACTATAAGCATTTCAATACAGGGCTCTTTCAATTCAATACAATATATTTCTAAATGATATGATATGGTCAACAATAAAATGAAAATATATAATTTAATTAATTAAAATATCAATAATTATCTAAAAATCTCTGTGTTATTTCTAGCAAACCCCCAAACCCCAAATCATTGAATATTCACAATTCAATGTGTCTTTGTGTGGTCTCTGTTTATTCTTTCAAAGGCATCTCAAGTTTTCATAATTTGATACTTTAACCCCAAAGTCTCCCTCATTATTTGTATTTCTTGAATTAATATTTTACTTTTTCATAGTCAGACAATACTCTCACTCTTATCAATGCATAAGAACACAAACACACATTACTACTTCTTCTACAAAGGGGATAAGTGAGACAAATCACGGCCACAGTCACTCTGGCAGATCGCCAAAGGGACCGAGCCTTTATTCAAACAACTTAATGACATTTGAAGTTAGCAGACATTCTGGAGATACAGTAAAAGAGGCGCTGTTGTTCAGAGGGAGTGGGACTGGAGCATAAGACCCTCACTGTTAAACCTCCAAACATCTGTCATGACGAGAATCGATTTTCTCTGCTCCTGTGCCGTCAACATCGCAACTATTTTTTACCGATACAAACATTTTTTTAAGTATATATAGAGTATATTTTGTCCGTGACTTTCTTTTCTTGCACATAATGTTTTCATTCTGCACCCGGAGCTACACTCAGCTTGTTTGACCAAATGTCCCTGGAGAGGACCATGGCGAAATGGGAGTGAAATGTGATGTGGGTATTTGTGGAGGAGAAAGGGGAACTTTTTCAGAGGCAAAGTACACGCCGTATCAACAGCATAGTATAAAACTTTTCACTTTCAAATCCATACAAAACTGGAATGATTACTGCTGCTGCTTATTGCCAGTATTATCTGTATGTAAACACTGTGCATTCACATCTACAGCTTTTATTGTAAGTATTTTCTCAACATTAAGAGGTGCCTCCATGCAGTATGTGAAAGCAAATATAAAATGGCTGCCTAGCGTTAGGGTTATTTGGATCTTTTTTTAAATAATCATTCACTCTTTACTATTTACTAACAATTATTGTTATACTGTATATACTCTGCAAATTACTGCAGAATTACTGTGAAACTAATGCAAATATTACCCCGTAGATGACTGTGATTTCACTGTGAATAATGAAAAGTGTCTTGATCTGAGACATTGGGTGATGGAGTCGTTTGGATGAAAACTGTAAAAATAGGCGAGCGATGAAGCTTCAGTAACTCATGTCACAACTTCATGATTCTAATATGTAGTGTTTTGAGGTATAATGTATTCAAAATATGTCTGTAACCGATTAAGTTAGCAAAATACACCACTATCTTCCAGAGATTTGGATTGTCTTCAAAAACAATCAATTATAAACTCAAGAAGACAAATTAGCAAGAAGGTCCTGGGTTCGAATCCCAGTCGGAACAGGGCATTTCTGAGTGGAGTTTGCATGTACTGCGTAGGTTTCCTCCAGGTGCTCCGGTTTCCCCTACCACTAAAAACATATTCTATAGGTCTGAATGTAATGAGTGAGTGGATGGATGGTGTAGGTTGGATGCATCACCGTGTGGACAGAATGGAAAATATCTGACTTCTGAACGTTGTAAAGCGCTTTAGGTGACCTTGGTCTGTAACAAACACGCAATATAAATGAATACAATACGATACAATGTATTCTTGTATCGCCCTAAATCACAACAGAAGTCATCTCAGAGACTTAATAAAACCATTGAAATCACCAACACAGATCAGAGAATCAACAGTTAAAACACTAAATATAAACATATGTATTGGTCCATAGGGAGAGACCAATGTCCATGAATGTTGATAAATGTTCATACATGTTGTAGAATGTGAAAGTGTCCTGGATCATCACCACAGTCCTTTTTGTTTGACACTAACAGACCCAGACCAACAACAGACCCTCCTGCATCAGCAAGCAAAAACCCAGTGGGAGAAAAGAGAGAAAACTCGGGGAAATCTATATACATGCATCAAGAGTTACGACATTTTGATGACATGTAGCTCTATAGTCAGTCGGTTGTGTTTACATCTAAAACCACAAGAAAAAAAATGCATTGCCTTTTAGTTAAATGAAAAAATCTTTACCTTACCTTCAAAATGTCTGAAATTGGTGAATTTTTTAGCTATTAAAACAATCTATGGGCTGGAAACAAGAGAGAGAGATCACGTTCGCAACAAGTAATCCAATATGGCAGCGTGATTTGATGCCCACCTTTTTAAGAAAACTACCCACAATGCCGTGCGGTCGAGCCGGAAGATTGGAACTCTTGATGCATGTATTGAGAGAGGGATCTGCTCCACACGGACGAAAGGGCTGTAGATCCAGAAAATGTACTTACTTACATCATTTTCTCCTTTATACTACACACACATAAATATATATCCCACTATCCGGCTAATATTAAAAGAAAAAACTTTGTCCAGGGCAGAAACAAATTAGCTATTGAGATTCTAATCTAGGTTCTGGTTATAAATACACTTCCAAATATTGCATAGACGAAACAAAAATATGTCAAAACAAGTGCGGCGTTTAATGAGCGACCAATTTAAGCTGCATGTCATATCAATATCAACAAATCCTCAAGTGGCTTTAGAGTGGTTATATTTTTCAAAACTGTTATTTCGGGTTTTCATGATCTACAGTAAACAACCAAATTCTAGTCCAGTGGAATGCGGCGGACTTTACTTGGACATCTTACCAAGGCTACCGCATCTTTGACAGTGGATCAACATACTCTTTGCACACGGACTGCCCAAATCGCTGACTAAACAACACTTGGCCTTGGGAGAAGTGCCCAGTGTCTGCTGCAATGTTGACAGAGATTTTCTCTTGCCTTGTTTCCAACTATATCCCCACACCTCATCTGCAACACCCACTGCCTGAACCAATGTGCTCCACTCACCTCCCTGCCTCCTCCCTGCCACCTCCCTGTCGCCGCCACACCCCCTCAGCCCTTCCAGTTGCTCACTATTTCTGCACACTCATATTATTTCTGTCACCCTCTAACCTCGATCGTGTGTGTGGGTCATTGGAAGCATATTCAAATTCAATATTCAATAATATTTCTACAAATGATGGGTATAAGGTCTTTCCCCAAAAAATATTTCCCAAAAGAGAGCAACGATGTCAGCCTGAAATTGTAAGCCTGTGACTGTGTATATTTTAGACTTCTATAAATGGTGAATAGATCATGTGCACATTTTCTCCACATTAGTCTGAAAACATATTGGTATTTTTGATGCAACAATTAGATTGGAAGTGTAGTGCCTTATACATATTATAATACTGTATATTTAAATGCTCCAAGTGGTGTTGTGCACTTAAAAACAGCAGTTTAAAACAAGGTAGTGCAGAGTTTTAAGTGATTTATTTGTTCAGATTTATGTATGACACAAAGTAGATTGTGATGGCCAGAGATGGTGTTGTTCATGCTCAGATGGTCAAAATAAAAAAATCAATCAACAAGTATATACAGTCTCATTTTAGCGTGCGTTTGTCTCATTTCATTTTTAGTACAGTACAGGATTTTTTTTTTTCAGTAATTTCTTGATCTGTAAAATAAGAGTGGGGCGGCCTGTCAATCATGAGTGATGCATGGTAGAAAGAGTTTAATGTGCAGCCAAGACTACTTTTGAAACGTCTTCAAAAATATGTTTTGCCAAAATAGCACAAGCAGGCTTTGTTTCAAGTAAAGTAAATCAAAGAAGTCATTTCAACTCCAAAAAGTCTGCCTTTCCATTTAATTTGAACGGCACAATCTGGTGTTGAAATAGAAAATCTGTAATAAAAATATTAAACAGTCCAGGATCTTAACCTTGACCTTTGCCCTTACCCCAAACCCAAGCCTAGTCCTAACCCTAACCGTCGCTCAGACCCTGAACGCTAACCCTGCTCTAACCCAGACCTAATGAAACATGGATCCTGTTCCTTACATGGATACTCTTACTCAGATCATCCATAAGAACACTGTAAATCTGATCATAGCTGTTCCTAAACACGTATGCTATCCAACCATTATTATTTTGGTTTCAGCAGATGGAGAAGCCGTCTCTGGCTGGCGAGGAGCCGGCCTGGTTGGGCCCGAGCCAGTCCCAGGCTCAGCTCACCACTGCAGAGGACACGGACGGGGGCGAGAACAGCCCTGCAGACCGCCCCGCCTGGGACTCTAAGCTGCAGTACGTCCTGGCTCAAGTGGGGTTCAGTGTGGGCCTCGGCAACGTCTGGAGGTTCCCATATCTCTGCCACCAAAACGGAGGAGGTGGGTGAACGGTGGGACATTTGATATTGTTTAGATATAGTTGATGACATATTATTGTACAGGACTGATTTAACAGATGCAAAAATACCCTATTATATAAAGAGTTTGCGGGCCTAATAATAGAAATGATCCGAATTGATTGGTCAATAAGTTGATTTCAACATTAAAGATGCAGTCAGTGATTTTATCCAGACACATTTTTTTCAAATATTTTGGGAAAATGTCCCTAAACCCTAAAAGTAGTCACGTTATCATGTGTTTTCAAATACTAATGGAATTGACAAGATGCCTATGAACGAATCCCATTGGTTTATTTTTATCGGTCCGCTCCAAAATATCTTTATTATTTTGGAGCGGACCGATAAAAATAAACCAATGGGATTCGTTCATCCCCAACGAACCAATGGGATGCGTTTACCCCCTTCACCCTCTTCCTGTTTCTCACGAGTGCGAGCACCTGAGTTATCGCATTTTCTAAAACTTAAAACGACTGAACAGAAAATGCCAATTCCACGTTTTCCACCCACTCTCCCTGTGACAAAGAAAAGAAAATGCTGGATGTTTGGTTTGGTGGAGAGGGAGGGGAGGGGGGAGAGGTTTTGCGTTGATGCTACGGCTAAGCTAACAAAATCGCTTACTGCATCTTTAACATTACACTTTATATCAAACAAAAAGTAAAAAATGATCAATATCCATTTCAGAATTTTTTATGTAGTCAACAACTTCTAATCAGTTAATTTACTTAAAGGTCAGCAAATTGTATTTCATTTGAAATAGAAGGTATATGTAAGCCTGTACATGCTTGCCCTGCTCTGCCACTCTCTAGGGGCCTTCATGCTGCTGTATTTTTTCCTTCTGCTGATCGTGGGGGTACCTCTGTTCTTCATGGAGCTCGCCGCGGGCCAGAGCATCCGGCAGGGCAGCATCGGCGTATGGAAACACATCTCCCCAAAACTAGCCGGCATCGGATACTCAAGCTGTGTGGTGAGGGGGCTGACTTTTAATGCATATCTACAGGGAAACAGAACAGCCTTTGTTTTCAAATGGGAAAGTAGCGTAATGTGTATTTGAGGAGAGTGGTGTCTTCAGGAGAATATGGAAAGTCTGGTAGTATAGTAGTAGTAGAAGGTAGTGTAGATGCGTGATGAAGGAAAAAAACACTAGCACAATAATAATTGTTTGAATGAACACATTTAGCAGTGGTTCTCAACTGGTGGGTCGGCATCTTCTACACTGCAGAAGCTGCCCTTGATGTAAAGCTGGGGTACCTATCAGGGTTAGGAGTAATGTGTTACAAAAGTAATATAATTATTGTCTTATTTCTGTAACGCGGTAAAGTAAGGCCTTCCACCAAAAAAGGGTCATATTTTACTCGGACCTGTTATGTACGAAACCAAAAGTTCTATCAACTGCATGCAACAGCAAAATAAGCTACATTTACTATGTACATTAATATTTGGTGAAAGTAAATAATTATTTGGTGAAATGTAGTGCAGTAGTAGTGTGATACATTACAATTCAGAGACAGTAGTATTGTAGTGTAACACATTACTTTGAAATAACACTAACAAAGTAATACTTTATGTTCGATGAAGGGTAAGAAGGAGGAGGAAGGGAGGCGGTGGTTGCGAGGCTTGAGAAGGCCGAGAAGTGGGAGTCTCCGCCTATTAAGTTGCTGGCCTGGCTGGCATTGGTTGTCGGGAAATGGGCGTTGCTGTGCGATAGGCCGAGGATGCGAGGCAGGCCTGAGAGGGATGGGCTGCAGCTGTTCAGCCTTCCAGAATTGAATTTCTGCAGGCTACATTTTGAAGTAACTTGCCCAAAACAGGTACCTAACTTTCAAAGTTATCCAATAAATGCTTTATGGGAGACATGCAAAACATCCCAGTTCCTGGCTCTATAATAGTTTGGTTCTACCACTGGCCAGTGTTGGGCTAGTTACTTAAATTATTATTCAGATTCAGATTCATTTTATTTGCCATTTGCCGTAAAAACACATTGGAATAAATGTGCAAAAGTCCCCAGTGTGCACATGACACGTACAGGAATAAAACAAGCTAAAAAAGTACAGGAAACTATTACTATATATAGTAATATATATTACTATAACTATTATTAAACTGATAACAGCTTGTGGAATGCTGTTATTGTATCGAGCTGTCCTGCATCTTATTGAACGAAGCTGGAACATGGCTTTTCCAGGGGCCAGAAGACTCAATGACTATTTTAAGAGCTGGATTCAGAGTCTGGTGTCATGTGGGGTGATGAACACAAGAACGCAAAAAAAGACAATTTAATGATAAATACACCAATGTCCTAGGGAAGAAAATCACAAAAAGGAACCAAACAGGGATCAAGAACAAAAACAGACGTGAAATGTCAGTAACGGGAGTGAAGGAACACATGGGGCTAAGTCTAACGAGACACTGTGATATACATGAGGACAGATCAGATTTAGATTAATTTTATTAGCCATATGCAGTATAAAAACTACATTGGAATACATTTGCAAAAAAGGTACTCTGTGTGCACCGACAGAATAAAGAGCATGATACAATGTAATATAAAATACACATACACTGAATATAAAAGAATAAAAAAACAGCTGACACTGTGGCACCGATCAACAAAACGATACAAGGGGTAAAAGCAGGAATTAAAGTGCTCTGTTTAGGCACCTAACAGCCTGTGGAAAGAAGCTGTTAGCATAGCGAGATGTCTTGCATCTCAGAGAGCGATATCTTCTGCCTCTTTGCAGAGCGGAGCACCTTGTTTAAAGCTCTATTTTCTTTATCTGTGATGTTTCCAAACCACACAGACACAGAACCAACAAGTAAACTCTCAATGGTGCAGCGATAAAAGTTAAGCACAATCTTAGAGTTAGTGGTAAATTCTCTACGTTTCCGCAAAAAGAAGAGCCGCTGACGAGCTTTCTTAACGACCCGGTTAGTATTTTTGTCCCATTTCAGGTCGTTAGACAGAGTTAAACCCAGAAACTTGCACTCCTCTACAATCTGCACCTGGGAGTTGTCAATAACAACAGGAGTGTGAGAACTGTTACGACTGAAGTCAAAGACAAGTTCACATGTTTTTGCAGTGTTTAGCTGGAGATTGTTTCCTTTACTCCACTGAAAAACATGTTCGATCTCTGCTCTATAAGAGGATTCATCATTGTCACTGATGAGACCAAGGGCACGTAATCAAACAGGAAGTACAACTAAAGAAGACACGGGTTAACAAATTACAAAATAAAATAGGAAATAAATGTGAACCATGACATCTGGTTTCATAAAGAACCACCAGAACAGGCAGCTCACGGCCCTCTTTCAGAGCGGAGCACCTTTAAAGCTCTCCTTTCTTTGGCTGTGATGTGAACAAGCAAACATTCAATGGTGCAGTGATGAAAGCTAAGCAGGATCTCAGAGTTTGTGGTAAATTCTCTAAGTTTACAACCTGATTAGTATTTTTGTCCCATTTCAAATCTTTAGACAGAGTTCCACCAAGAAACCAGAGTGTAACAATGTAAAAAGCAAAGGACCCAAAACACATCCCTGAGGAGATCCGGTGCTCACAGAAACTAAATCTGACACATGACAATTAAAAGCAGAGCGATAATCAATGAACAGCATTTTAGTGATAGATTTGATAGATTTGATAGACATTTGTCCAAGAGACTACACAGAGTCCAGAGCAGATGAGATCAACAAATCGGGGCAGGTCAAGTCTTACAGGGATCTGGGTCTGAATGAAGTCCAACACGAGCCGCTCATAAGTCTTCATGAGAACAGACTGAGGGCCACAGACTGAGGGCCACAGACGTGAGAGCCACACACTGAGGGCTACAGACAGAGGGGGGCACAGTCTGACGGTCACAGACTGAGTGGCCACAGACGTGAGGGCCACAGAGTGAGGGCCACAGACAAGTTGCATGTAGTTATCTTTGGAGCTGGGATCATGGTTGACCCTTTAAAGGTCTGGCCTGTACAGTACAGTTTTCTAGTGGCAAGTTGAAAATTAAAACAGCGACAATTTACTCTGAGCAGTTTCAGGACATGAGGAGGGACGCAGTCTGGCCCTGGGGCTTTCCAGACTGTGGTTCTGAGTCATAGTGAAGGCCCCCTGTCTGACGCGTTCCCTGAATACAGCAGGCAAAAGATCAACAGATTGAACGCGGCAGTAAAAATGGTTAAGCTCATTTGGCAGAGCTTGGCCGACAGATGCAATTTTCCCAGTACTTGGTTTCCAGGATGTGACGGCTTTTATTTCTTTCCGCAAGTGCAGAGGGTCATCTTCATCGAAATAACCCTTCACCCTGTCCCCGTAACTACACTTTGCAGATTTAATAGAACATTTCAAGAAGTAACTGAATAACTTATTAGCCATCGCATCATTCGACTGAAACGGCAACGCTTCCTCCCAGTGTCTGTGCTTCAGTCTCCTGTTCAGTGTCTGTGCTTCAGTCTCCTGTTCAGTGTCTGTGCTTCAGTCTCCTGTTTAGTGTCTGAGCTTCAGTCTCCTGTTCAGTGTCTGAGCTTCAGTCTCCTGTTCAGTGTCTGAGCTTCAGTCTCCTGTTCAGTGTCTGAGCTTCAGTCTCCTGTTCAGTGTCTGAGTTTCAGTCTCCCGCGAACAGAGCTTATTATGTATGACTTGTTACTGTTATATACAGTGTCTTGTGAAAGTATTCGGCCCCCTTGAACCTTTCAACATTTTGCCACATTTCAGGCTTTTCATTGATTCATTTTGTCATGAATCAACAACAAGTTGGACACAATTGTGAAGTGGAACAAAATTTATTGGATAATTTAAACTTTTTTAACAAATAAAAAACTGAAAAGTGGGGCGTGCAATATTATTCGGACCCTTTACTTTCAGTGCAGCAAACTCAGTCCGGAAGTTCAGTGAGGATCTTTGAATGATCCAATGTTGTCCTAAATGACTGATGATGATAAATAGAATGCACCTGTGTGTAATCAAGTCTCCGTATAAATGCACCTGCTCTTTGATAGTCTCAGGGTTCTGTTTAAAGCGCAGAGAGAACCATGAAGACAAAGGAACACACCAGGCAGGTCCGAGAAACTGTTGTGGAGAGGTTTAAAGCCGGATTTGGATACAAAAAGATTTCCCAAGCTTTAAACATCTCAAGGAGCACTGTGCAAGCAATTATATTGAAATGGAAGGAGTATCAGACCACTGCAAATCTACCAAGACCCGGCCGTCCCTCCAAACTTTCATCTCAAACAAGGAGAAGACTGATCAGAGATGCAGCCAAGAGGCCCATGATCACTCTGGATGAACTGCAGATAACTACAGCTGAGGTGGGAGAGTCTGTCCATAGGACAACAATCAGTCGTGCACTGCACAAATCTGGCCTTTATGGAAGAGTGGCAAGAAGAAAGCCATTTCTCAAAGATATCCATAAAAAGTCTCGTTTAAAGTTGGCCACAAGCCACCTGGGAGACACACCAAACATGTGGAAGAAGGTGCTCTGGTCAGATGAAACCAAAATCAAACTTTTTGGCCACAATGCAAAACGATATGTTTGGCGTAAAGGTGGTGGCAGCATCATGGTTTGGGCCTGCTTTTCTTCAGCAGGGACAGGGAAGATGGCTAAAATTGATGGGAAGATGGATGGAGCCAAATACAGGACCATTCTGGAAGAAAACCTGTTGGAGTCTGCAAAAGACCTGAGACTGGGACGGAGATTTATCTTCCAACAGGACAATGATCCAAAACATAAAGCCAAATCTACAATGGAATGGTTCACAAATCCATATCCAGGTGTTAGAATGGCCAAGTCAAAGTCCAGACCTGAATCCAATCGAGAATCTGTGGAAAGAGCTGAAGACTGCTGTTCACAAACGCTCTCCATCCAACCTCACTGAGCTCGAGCTGTTTTGCAAGGAAGAATGGGCAAGAATCCCAGTCTCTCGATGTGCAAAACTGATAGAGACATACCCCAAGCGACTTGCAGCTGTAATTGCAGCAAAAGGTGGCGCTACAAAGTATTAGCGCAAGGGGGCCGAATAATATTGCACGCCCCACTTTTCAGTTTTTTATTTGTTAAAAAAGTTTAAATTATCCAATAAATTTCGTTCCACATCACGATTGTGTCCCACTTGTTGTTGAATCTTGACACAAATTGTAATTTTTATATCTTTATGTTTGAAGCCTGAAATGTGGCGAAATGTTGAAAGGTTCAAGGGGGCCGAATACTTTCGCAAGGCACTGTATAAAAAAGGGGTCACACACTGCAAATTATTTTCAATGTTCTTCTTGCCAGGCCATCTATAGATAGAGACAGTGTAGATCAAAAGAGCAGCTTTTTATTTGTAAAGTGCTTCACATATCTTTGCAAAACATGCACAAACATATAATAGCATTAAAATTCCAAAAAGGCTTGCTCAATATGGACTTAAACGTGCAAATAACAAATAAAACCCCAGGTAGTGAATCAGGGATTGGCTTTAGAGGCACGCACACATCTGTCATGTACCAGACCGTTGTCTCTTTCTTTTTTTTACCCAGTGTCAATACTCAATAATAATCTATTTTTGTTTTGTTCTACACTAGATTTGTACTATTTGTCTGCTCTAATATAATATAATATATATAATGTAATATACTGTATATTGGAGATGTAAAAAAAAGACAATATTGCACATCTTCCAAGTCACTTTCGTGATATTATTGTCTACGACACTACAGCATTATTGTCTCTGAATTGCATTACAATTATTATTATATATATATATATATATATATATATATATATACTGTATATTATACCACTGCATTTAGGAATCTACTTAAATACTATACAAATGCAAAAATAGTGGTTGAAAAGGTGTGAATACAGACAAAAGTGCCACTGCTTTCCAAAACTGGTCACAGAGTAGATGGAAAATTGTAGAAATATTAGCTTTTAGATGAAACATGTGCCCTTTGTGTTGAATCTATTTATACTTTGTCTCATGCTTGAACCTCAGCCAAACCATTCACAAGATTAACAGACAAAGTTTTGCATATTTCTGACATGAAGTGCTGTTATTATTAATCAGGAGAGTCCAAAAGTAATGAATGTATGTATTTTCACTATTTTGCTAAAGCACATATGAGCTTTATCTCAAGGGAGAGTCAAAAGTTGAATGTGATCTGCAGTTGCGCAGCTGCAGTGAGAGGAGTGTGTGTGTACATAGAGAGGGGGTGATGATGACATCCAACACGGGGTCCGCTGGAGACCTGGCAGTGTTGCGTAACAGTTTCTGCATCGAGCCAGCCCCTTACCATCCAAGTTTTCCATGAAAGTTAGTCCCCCGTGGAGCGACCATTCTTTTTGCGTCATTTTGGTGTCATATTCAGGAGTTTGCCCAAGAAGAACCCAACGTGATACCAAATAACAAAGGGTTATCACAGTTTGGATCAGTAAACTCAAACTGACAAACATGATCGGCACTCGCTGACAACTAAATAATGTTGTACACGCTTTTTCAGAACGTTGAATGAAGATGTGTGTAAATAGAAAGTGACAGTGTGATGATGTGACTGAAGTTGCGAAGTGGACGGGATTTAGGTTTCCGGAAGATAAATTCTTCATTCAAAATCCCTATAGGACTGAAGACACGACGTACAACTAGCTAACTACGATTCACTGCGTGTTGTTGTTATAATGACCATTAAGAGTCATATTACATACTGTCCTTGTAAAGTTAATGTAAATGTCCCCATGGAGACTTTACGTAAGCTCCGCCCACTTTGCAGCTCCATTTTGATGAATGAAGAGAGCATTAGAATCTTTTGAGTGGACTTTGCATGTTCTCCTTGTGTCTGTGAAGGTTTCCTCTGGGTGCTCCATTTTGAATGCTGATAAATGATAAGAGCATTAGAATAATATTTGAATCGGGAATCCATACCTTGAGAAAGTCTACATGGTGTCTGTGTGAGTAACTCCACACTGCACCGTGTCCCTACATGTGTAGGATCATATATTTACTTTGGTTTGAAACATTCACTATCGGCCTGAGGCACTCTGAGGCAAGTCTGGAGCAAGAGCTTTGAAGACACAAGAATGACGTACTATGGCTGTGGTGAAGTAAACTCTAACATCTATTGCAAAAAAAGTGCCTCCATTGACACTCAACAACATGAAAAAACTACACAAACTAGAGGACGAGATATGGCCCACTAACGTTTACGCTGCGACAGTAAAACGTTAGCGTTGGGCTTCGGTTTGGCCTCCAGTTTACATGAAGACGGTGTTTCAGGTGAAAATGTAAGCGTTGAGAAGTACAGATAGAGTGCTCAGCGGGGGCTGTTTCACAGTCTCTGCTGCTGTGACCTCCACTTCCCACACGTACGTTTGGACATGCACCGTAGCCGAGAACAAACTACAGCTACTGTTAGATGTTAGATGCAGAATGATGTTTGCAGTGGATTGAGGAGGATGTTGTTCAGGAAGTGGTTATACGGCTGGGGAGGCTGGGGGTCGTGTGTGTCCTGTTTTAAATTCCACTGCCCCCTCCTGGTCGTGCGCTAGAACTACATTGTTTTCATGCGTCATCTAAACGCTGCGCAGGAGCCTGATCGTTTCCGTTTCCTCCGTATAAACGGGGCCTGACTGTCAGCAACTAAAATTTGCATTTTATTCATGCATTCATGCATTTCTTAACTTCTTCCCACTCGTTTTTTGAGCTGGATTTTTGTTAATAAAACAAAACATATTGTATATTTGTATATTATCATTTTTGTTGTTGTTCTTTGTTCTTGTTTACCATGGCTCAAAATAAATTCATTAAATAATTTTTAAAAAGTCCTTCCTCTTGGCAAAACTAAGACCAGTAAGATTTGGAGGAGGAGAACACCAATGACCTTAAGGATTTAAAATCATTTCAACCAATCTTACCAGTGCTTGTCTCCACAATTCAAGTCACAAGCTGACTAATCAATGAATATTTTTTTCTTTTCTTGTTTAGAAGTTGATATGATGATTGACAACAAGATGTCTTTGTCTGTTAGAATGTGTATGAATTAATGAATGCAGGCAGTTTTGTTGTAAATGTGAGCTATTGTGATCTGCAAACAACTTTGAACAACAGTACTATATTTGAACATTGATGAGCAGAAGTGTCTAAAACCACCTTACAAAACTCACCCACATGTGAAACTTGTTTAGCATATTTTGGCTTTCTGTAAATATTGAAAATGTTGCGTTTTTCTCTCTCCGAGGTTTGTTTCTATGTGGCTCTGTATTACAACGTCATCATCGCCTGGAGCTTGTTCTACCTGGGTAATTCATTCCAGTATCCTCTGCCCTGGCACCAGTGTCCCATCGATGTCCACACCAATGAAACGGGTGCATTTCTATCCGTAAAAAAACTAGAAAAGTCATCAGTTTTCACTCAACTAATCTCTCTTTTGTCGTCACAGTTCGAGAATGTGCCAAAAGTTCCCCCACATCGTTCTTTTGGTTTCGGAAAGCTCTGAACATCACCAACTCCATTGACGAGTCTGGAGAGTTTAACCCCATCATGACCGGGTGTTTGCTCGCTGCGTGGGCCATTGTGTCTCTGGCTATGATCAAAGGCATCAAGTCTTCGGCAAAAGTTTGTTCATTGTCGCCTTTTCTGTAAAAACATGTTAAATATAATGTTTTTCAGCAATGGTTTGATCATGTTGCAGGTGATGTACTTTTCCTCAGTGTTCCCGTATGTGGTGCTCTTCATCTTCCTCATCAGAGGGCTGATGCTGGACGGAGCCATGGAGGGAATCACCTACATGTTTTATCCAAAGGTATTTAGTTTGTTTATATCTGCTATGTAGGGATTTCTTACAGTGTCAAGTATACATGTTCCAACAGAAAATACATATAAATATTACTATTTTTTAAATTAAATGTAGTTATTCATGTATTATGTCTCTCAAAATGCCCTGCTACCTGCCATGGATCATATACAGCTAAGTAGATCTAGGGTCTACCAGAAAAATAATTATAATTAAGACTAATACTTAATTCATTCCCATATTATAATGTAGAAAGCCTCTTAGAATCAATGCTTATGTCTTTTTTGTATAATGTCGTAATGTCCATGCCATTCAACACAAGTTTAGTTCCAAGCTGAAAACTAGTCGACAACACTTAAAAAAAAGTGTCACAATTACTTGTTATTGGTTCAGTCAGAATGTAAATAGTGTAAATATTTATCCTGCAGATCTCAATAATTGATTAAGTCATGTAATTGTGAAATGTAATCATAATTGTGTTGTTGTTTTGATATGATCTGATTAACAATGATAATTTTTTTGCCATGTTTTTGTGCACTGTTCTCTAAAGATTTCTTTTTCATATTTCCCTTCTGTGTTGTGGATAATGTTCCCGTGTTGTCGTCAGCTGGAGATCTGGGGCAGCGTGCAGGTCTGGCGTCAGGCTGCGACTCAAGTCTTCTTTGCGTTGGGCCTCGGATACGGCTCGGTCATCGCCTACTCCTCCTATAACCCCGTCAACAACAACTGCCACCGAGACGCCCTCATGGTCTCTGGAATCAACTTCATGACATCGGTCCTGGCTTCGCTGGTAGTTTTCGTGGTGCTTGGATTCCGGGCAAAGACGATTGCGCAAAACTGTGTGGCGAGGCAAGTATTTTTGTATAAAGAAGGACAATGACAACTCAAGAGCTCAATGAAGCCCGATAGAAAACTGCGCATGGAACTCTCTCTGGCTCCTATTGACTTATATCGAAAAGTAAACCGTTTGTGTTACATTCACCATTTTTGAGTTTGAAAAATGAGATTTCTTCATTTGCTGGGTAAGCTACATGCCTGCCCCTCTTACGGCACAAATCTAACCCTGACCCTGTAACAAATGCCCATAATATGAAATTGGCTTTGGGCAAACACTAAGGGTGAGGTCAGCACTGTCTCAGTCCTCTCTAATATACAGTCTATGGTTCCACCTTGAGTTGATATTTAAATACTGAAGTGAAAAGATGAATTTGTGATACTCTCTGCAGTAATCTCGGGCTGCTCAACATAATGGCGACGGAGGGGTCCACGCAGCACTGGTGGCCTTGGTTCAACATCACAGATCCCAGAGCGGTCTCCATAGAAGATTACAGAGACTGGTTCGGTCACTACAGCAGCCTAGTGGGCCCCAACATCACCGACTGCAGCCTGGAGGCGGAGATGAACAAGGTATTCAATTATTTATTTTATTGACACTATACTAACATTTCATATTCTGTGCCGTTGGATAAAAGAACAATCTGGAGTTAGCGTGACTGCAGTTCAAATTTTTAGACCTGCACATGTTTATTGCCACAGCTTGCGGGATTGTAGAGCGCTATGCGGCCTGTGAAATGCGCTATATAAATATGAATTACTTACTCACTTACTTACAAAATAAGTTTGCATTCTCAAGCAATTCTTACTGATGATTTTGGCATAGGGGCTGAGTGGTTAACATTCTCGCTTCAAAGCAAGAGGGATCTGCGTTCGGAACCCGGTCAGACCAGAGCCTTTCTGATTAGACTTTGAATGTTCTCCCTGTGTCTGCGTGGGTTTCCCCTAACACTAAGAACACACCAGCTCCTCTTTGTTTTGGCCAGGACTCCCTGGATGAAGAGATTCTGGAATCTCAGTGACTGTTAATAATGGCTCTGCCAATACCAGAGAAGACACTATTTTAATCAGTACTTTTTATACTTAGTTCACCTAATAGGTACAGAAGTGCTTCTCCCAATCTTCATTGACTCAATAAAGTACTCAATTAAATAAAATGGAATGAAAGCAAAAGGGGGCGACAGTGGCTCAGTTGGTAGAGCATTGGCCTTTGGGCCTGAAGGGCCCCACCATAAGACCTACTTCACGACTCCCATTGATGTCTGCTGTAATTGTGTCCTTGGGCAAGACACTTAACCCCACTTTGCCTTAAGCCCCCACTGAAAGATCTCAGGTCCTGTGGTCTCAGCACCTGCAGAAGGATCAGTGAGGGGCTGGTGCTCTGTGTACTGGGTGCAGCTCTGACTGCCACCCCCCCCCCGACCCAGAAATGGATTAAGGGGAAGAAAATGGATGGATGGATGGAAATGAAAGTACAAGTTAACTGCGACGCAAGTTTAGGCAATAAAGTTGTAGAACGTCACCATGAGCTCCTGAGACCAGGACATATTCTATACAGCAACCTGGCGTCCCACAAATATGTCCCTACATTTTTCATATATTTTTGTCTTTTATTTATTTCTGTTGTTGATTTTTGAAGTCTTGGAGTGGAATTTTAGGGTTCTATCTTTTATCCGTTTCACATCAAATTATAAAACAAAAGAAAAACTGTGATACAATAACCTATTCTGTGCTATATTGTCTTACGTGGGTAATGTTGACCACATTTTATGCATTGTGTATATATTCGAGTGTATAAAAGACAAAACTAGCACAAGAAAAAGGAAAAAATAAATTTTCAAACAAGCAAATATAATTTACAATTCCTGCACTATCATGGTTACTGTATTATTCCCTGAACACATTTGGAATCGTGTTATTTTAGTTTGGATATCTGAATATCTGAAAGTTTTCCACTCCTGCTCTTTTGCACTGACCAACACCAATACTGACCTTTCACAATGTTACCGCCAAATATAGGTAAAAGTTGTGCTCTCTTCTGCCAGGACTGGGTCAGTGTGACCCACTTTCTAAAATAAACTCTCACATCTGATTACTGCACCTGCACTTTACCCCCGCAACTAGAGGGATATTCCCTATTTGCGATGCACTTGATCAGCCCTCAAAGCACTACACATGTGCGCGTCCGTCTGCTCCACAAGTTTCATACAAAACTGCTGGAATCAAAATACAAACCACGATTCAATCTGCTGTACTCTCACACTTCACACATACTTATATTTCATTATAAACAGCTCAGCAATTCAATTCAAGTTATTCTTGTATAGCCCTAAATCACAACAGCAGTCATCTCTGATGTAACGACGAATAACAGGACACAGTGTGGAGTCAGCTACTGTACTCAGACCTGTGACAGACCAAAAATATACATTTTTATCTGTCACAGCCCCCCCTCTGAAGCATACAACGCGGCTTTTACAGGGGGAGGGGAGCAAATAATAATATTTTAACAGGATTTTCAAATGTTGACAGTAATTTTACATGAACAATGTAATAAAAATAAAATAAATATACATTGGAGGTAGTGGAGTAATCAATCGGAGTATAAATGCACAAATAAAAACATTTTTCACATAAAAATAAATTAATCATACCTGTGACAGACCAAAAATATAAATTTTTAGTCACAGCGGACACACTGGCTCCCCCTACGGGAAGAAAACGGCACGTGAGCATGGCAATACACTTGAGCTATTGGTAAGATAGCTAAATAAAAAGCACAGAAAAACTAAAACTGTGCGCAAGAAAATGTGCATAAGTTAATTCATTGCATCCTAATACATTTCCTACTAAACATATCTTAGTGAATAATAAAGAAAAATGATTGAAAATATATATTTTTCACAGAGACAGAACTCACCCTCTGAGAGGGAAAGTTGAGTACCAAAATAAAACACAGGGGAGCAGCGCGCACTTCCGCTCGGAGCAGTCGCAGGGGGGCGCGGGACAAATGAAAAACCAGACATACAGTAAAAAAATAGAAAAGAAAAAAAAGGGAGGAATAACAGAAGGCTAAATGACACTGCTAGCATAAGATCGACACATTTTTGACACATTACAATCTGCAGTTTGGGCTGAGGTTCATTTTACATTGAGAGAGGGATCCGCTCCACACGAACAGGCGGGCTGTAGATCCAGGACCTAAGCTTCAGAACGTGGACCAGGCCCACGGAGCGGTTGTAGAACGAGGACAGGTGCGGTGTCGGGCAGGGCAGTATATTCTACTTATGCATGTGATTCAAGTGATCATATTCCAGTCTTTTATCAATATTTGGAAAGATACAAATACAAAAAGATACACAAATACAGGTATTGCAAATTCAACCATAATAAAAAAATGTTGTGGAAAAAATGATACTAAACCTTCAGCTCTAAATGTAAACAAACAACTTAATATTCTGGAGAATATATAGAGTCAAGTGTAATCCTACAGTATATTTGTCCAGGAAAGATAATATAAGATAAACTTTATTGTCCTGAAGTGGAAATGTTGTCTTTGGCTCACCGCCCGCAGCGCAAACACAGCTCGACATACATTCATCCAAACGACAGAAAATAGTTTGGTTCCAATAATAAAGGCATAATATTCCAGTTATGGCACCAGCCCGATCGGTGCTTCAAGATTAGATTCAGCACAAATTAGAATTAGATTTGCACACGGCACTATAATGCAAAGGTTCTCATGAAAGGCTATGAGAAAAGCATAAGAGTTAGTTTGAAAATAATGTCACAGAAGTAGACTCAGACGAGAGTTTGTACTTATTTTTGTACTTTCTTGTCTAAAATTAACAGATACAGTACATTGTGTTGAGCGCTTGAGTATCGTGACTGAACCATACTGATTATGTATGTTCTGGGGTTTATCGTGTGGGTTTGTCGATGTGTACCCAAAAGTACTTAGCAGTGATGTATTACAGAAGTTTCAAAAGTTGTCATTAAGTTTTCAATGTAGAGCAGGGGTGTCCAAACATTTTAGTAAGAGGGCCGCTGTAATTCACCAGACTAGTCCAGGGGCCGACATCATGTATTTAAAAACTGCCTTGACTGGCATCGAGCTGTTCTGAGGTTTAAAATGATCTATAACAGAGCTGAAGTTGGCTGAATGACAAATGTTTACCATCTCACCAGCTACAGTAGCACCATTGACTCATTGACTGCCAGCCGTTTTTGATGATTTCCCTGATTCTCAAGACCCACAGAATATTATTTCCTAATACTATGTGAAATATGAAACCAGATTCTAAAAGACTGGATTGTCTTCTTTCATCAGCAAAAATAAGTTTGTTTTTAGCTATTTTTTTTGTCCTGTAATCCATAGTCAAAGAGAGGGTCTCAGACAAATACGTCAATGGCGGTCAATGGAAGTGACACAATCAAAAACCACCTCAGTAAAGTATGAGTAATTCCAAATGTACTGGGCTTTAGAACGAGGTCTATATTGGCTGAGCTGAAGTTGGATGGATGACACAGAGAACTTGTGTTCATGATCTCAAAGACTACTGCGGGTTAGTAAGGCAGAGGGCCACACAAAATGATACTGAGGGCCACAATTGGGCCGCGGGCCTGAGTTTGGATAGGCCTGATGTAGAATATTTCAACCATAGCTTTAAACTTCTTTCCATCTGAACGGGAGCTGCTGTGAGATTGGAATTTAAATGGTGGTGCGTTTATGTCCCTTTTCTAGAATAACTCTTGTCAAATTATATGTGTTTTGCAATTAAATGTGGCAATACAACCAAATCTAGATATGTTCAGCTCTGCAGTGATCTACTATTAACTTTCATTCAGTCTCTGGGGCGTGAGGATACTTAACATTTTAACCTCTTGACATTCACAGCAAATTTATGGGAATTTCTTTTAAAACAACATAATAATGGAAAGAATCGTGCAGGCGGGAGTCTGAAACAGCAGGTACCAGTGCCCCACGCTGAACGCTAGCAGATCGTGTTTAAGTGTGTGTATTAAAGATCCAATATGATTTTTTATTTGTGTTCAGTTTAGCCCTTAAGCAGGATCTTGAGGATATTTGGTTTGTAAATGTAATATTTCATAATTCAGAAAGTAAAATAATTCAGCAGGAAAAAAGGAATTGACAAATGGAGAGATCACTAGAATGTGCCAATGTGCCTGTGATAGAAATGGGAAATGATTATACTTAAAACAAAATTATTTAAACTTTATTCAACGAGGAAAGTCCCATTGAGATCAAAAACCTCTTTTTCAAAGGAGTCCTGGTTAATAATACTATCATTACATATGAAATCCAAATGGTGCGGTCTAATAAATTGTGTTCATGTGACATTGCAACCGTCCAAAGAGCCTTTAGTTAAACATTGTGGTGGAGGGCAGCTGAAAAATCTTTCTTGGTAACCATGGTAACTGCCAAACGCCATATTCCACTCTTAGTCTAGAGATATATTCTTCCCTGTCAATCCCTGGGCAATTCCACATCAAACAAAAACATATTTCCAAATCTTTGTGACCCTTTGGGCACAGCCCGAATTGTATTTCAACATGAACACAATCTAATGAAGGCACACAAAACTAATTTAGAGGAAATAAAGAAATCAGCTCTGTTCACAACATATTATGATTGGTCTTGGCGTATTAAAGGAGCAATATGTAAAAATCTGGCCAGATGAGCTGGCAACCCGGATCACAGACTTTCTGATTGTTGGGCGGGACATCGAAATGAAAACAATAACAAGATTTAGGGGCTTTAAAACTGATTTTGAAATCCAAATATCTCGGCTGAACTACCGTTATCATTTAAGTATTTGAAATGACCATGGTTTATTATTATGACAGATTAGGGCCATTTAATGATGACTTGATGAGAAAATCTTATATATTGCTACTAAGGTTGAGAGAGGAAGATTTAGACCCAAGTGAAAGATGGACGAGGTTGTGCTAATTTGTGCCGTGTTTAGCGTGGATGGAGCCAAACATGACTCCAGGTCGGTTTTTGAAGAGGGAACAACGTAAAACACACAGACTATTTCAATGGTCACTTATATAATCTCCATGTTGTGTGTGTGTGTTTCTGTGTGTGTGTGTCTGTGTGTGTGAGTGTGTGTGCGCGCGTGTGTATTTGTGTGTGTGCCTGTGTGCGTATATCTGCGTGTGTGTGTCTGTGTGTGTGTGTGTGTGTGTGTATGTGTGTGCACACGCGTGTGTGTGTGTTTATGTCTGTGTGTGTGCCTGTGTGTGTATGTCTGCGTGTGTGTGTCTGTGTGTGCGTGCGTGTGTGTGTGTGTGTGTGTGTGTGTGTGTGTGTTTGTGTGCGCGTGTGTGTGTGTGTGTGCGTGCGTGTGTGTGTGTGTGTGTGTGTGTGTGTGTGTGTGTGTGTGTGTGCCTGTGTATGTATGTCTGCGCGTGTGTGTCTGTGTGTGCGTGCGTGTGTGTGTGTGTGTCTGTGCCTGTGTGTCTATGTGTGTGTGCGTGCGTGTCTGTGTGTGTATGTCTGCGCGTGTGTGTCTGTGTGTGCGTGCGTGTGTGTGTGTGTGTGTGTGTGTGTGTGCCTGTGTGTGTATGTCTGCGCGTGTGTGTCTGTGTGTGCGTGCGTGTGTGTGTGTGTGTCTGTGCCTGTGTGTCTATGTGTGTGTGCGTGCGTGTCTGTGTGTGTGTGTGTGCCTGTGCACTTGTTTTCAACTCCTGGTGGGTTCCATAACCTGAGATTCCACTCACGTCATGGGGACTGGTTTTACGTGGTGGGGCCCGAACACCGGACCCCACTGGTCCAAGCTTAATAATCAATGGGTAATGCTTTTCTAACGGTCCTTATGCAGTCTCTGTAAAAATATGGAAAGGACCCCTGGAGGTTTACTTTCCTGAAAAAAGTGTGTTATGTGTCGGAACCCTGGTGGTGGGTTGCGGGATATCAAGGAGGGGCACACTGGGGCAATTTCAGTCCAGCAGGCTGGAGCCAATCATGGAGCAGCACAACAGAGGAAATCAGGTGTCAGGCTAGAAAAAGGTGCAAGTGTGTGGTTCATTAGGCTGCAAGAAATCATGGAGGAGCACACTGAAGCGCACGCTTACAAACCACTGGTAAGTGCTGACTACAAGTCATGACTTCAAATTGTTATATAGAATGATTACAAATTATTTGTTGTTTGTGCAGCTTAGTCAAGAGTCCCTAATTGATGAAGTCGACTCAGATTCTGACGATTTAACTGTCAAGAAGAAACCTGTAAAAAAGTATGGAAAAAGAAAAATCAAAAACACTTTTCTTCAAGACTCGGAAAGTGACGAACCAAAGGCAAATAAGATTGTTATCATGCAGCTGCAAAAGAAGAAAAATGGGGGGCGAGTTTACAGCAAGAGACACTTCTGCCTCTACTGTTCAATGTCCTGCCACAAAATGTCCCGTCATTTGACTAGAAAACATGGAAATGAAAGTGACGTAGCCAGAGCATTGGCTCTACCTGTGAAATCTAAAGCACGTAAACTTCAGTTTGATTTGATCAGGAATAGTGGAAACCGTGAGCACAATTTTGAGGTTTTAAAGGCCGGCATTGGAACTTTAGTCCCAGCTAAACAGCCAAATTCCCCAGTTAAATCCAGTGAGTTTTTGCACTGTATAGACTGTGGGGCATTGCTTAAGCGAAAGTCGCTGTGGAGGCATGTGGCCAGGTGCCGGCTTTCACAGAAAGATGCCCAGGCTAAACCAGGTAGAAGTAGGGTCCAGTCCCTCTGCTCCCTAGCCCAGCCTGTACCGGAGGGCATCAGCAAAAAGCTGTGGTCTTTAATTTCGGCAATGCATCAGGATGAGGTCACGGGTGTTGTCAAAGCAGAAAAGGGGATTCTGAGACTCGGAGAGCACCTGTACTTAAAACACGGGCATGATAAGACTAAGCATGATTACATTAGGCAGAAAATGAGAGAAGTCGGTAGGTTAATTAACGAAGCAAAAACCGCAGGGAAACTGAAAACAATTAAGGATTTCTTTATTCCTTCCAACTTTAACCATGTGATTGATGCAGTCAGGTCTGTGGCTGGATATGATGAGGAAACAAATCAATACAAGACTCCATCCTTGGCCCTCAAACTCGGCCATAGCCTCAGAAAGCTAGCAGATATATCTTGAATGTGACTCAAAAATGGAGCATTGTGTTGATGAACTATTTATTAAAAACCTCCAACGAAGCCGGCTGCTTTTTGAGAAGAGGTGGGACGTCTGTGTTTCTTCTGCTGCCCTACAGACCCTTCGGCAAGCCAAGTGGAACACTCCGGACCTGCTCCCTCTGACTGAGGACGTTAGAGCCATGCATGCACATATTGAGGTATGTCGACCTGAATATGTGCAAACCCTAATAAGTGAGCCAACGTCTAAGCATTGGTCTAAACTGGCAGTTTTGACTCTTTGTGAGGTCATCATTTTCAATCGAAGAAGGGAAGGTGAGGTTTCAAAGATGCCACTGACAGCCTTTACCTTAAGAAGTAAGACTGGGATCCATTCTGACATTGCTCTGGGACTGTCCCAACTTGAGAAAAAGCTGTGTCAGCATTTTCAACGCATTGAAATTAAAGGGAAAAGAAGTCGGAAAGTGCCGGTTCTTTTGACTCCTGAAATGATTGCTTCGATGGAGGTGCTGGTGGAGAACAGAAGGGCCTGTTCCATCTCTGACCATAACCCATACTTCTTTTCCCGCCCGGGCGCAGACACCCACATCAGGGGATCAGACTCCCTACGCCAGGTAGCCAAAGAATGTGGTGCGGTGCATCCAGAGATGCTATCCTCAACCAAACTTAGAAAGCACATAGCTACTATGTCTACAGTTCTCAATATGAAAGAGAATGAGATGGACATACTTGCCAACTTCCTCGGCCATGACATTCGCATCCACAGGCAATATTACAGACTACCAGAGGGGACACTGGAGCTGGCCAAAATCAGCAAAGTGTTGATGGCCATGGAGCAGGGAAGAGTGACGGAATTCAAAGGAAAGAGCCTCAACCAGATACAAATTGAGCCTGAAGGTAATTCTTGATATTATTAAAATATGTATGATTTTTTTCCCCTAAAGGCCACTTGTATTTTTATTTTCTGTGCGACAGGGAGAGCAGTAGAGATCCTCTCACAAACGGACGGGCTAAAAGAAACTTCAAGCGGAGAACCTTCAACCATTCATCCAGATGCACCCCATGGTAGTGGCAGTGCCCCTTCTGGTAAGTGTACCAGGTGGGGGATTACAGCCAGGCTGCTTGGTCCTCACCCTGGGAGTGTATATTGCTAATATATTTTTATTTCTCTCCCTAGAACGTGTAAGAAAGCCATGGTCTGCATCTGAGGTGAAGGCTGTGGAGAAGACCATGACACCTTTCATACAGACTGGAAAGGTCCCTGGGAAGTCTCACTGCCTGGCCTGCATTAATGCCTCACCAGATGACCTTAGACATCGGACATGGAGTGGCATTAAATTCTATGTCAAAAATAGAATCACTGCAATTCGAAAACAAAATCTAAAATAAAATTCCTTTAAAATAGTTGTTTGGTTTCTATTGACTGTTTTGTATTACTTAAAGTCTTGGTAAAAAAAGATTATGTCTATGGGTCCCATTCTGAACGGCCCTGTCAAAGGGACCCACCAGGTAACAAAAACGTGTATGTGTGTGTGTGTGTGTGTGTGTGTGTGTGTGTGTGTGTGTGTGTGTGTGTGTGTGTGTGTGTGTGTGTGTGTGTGTGTGTGTGTGTGTGTGTGTGTGTGTGTGTGTGTGCCTGTGTGTGTGTGTGTGTGTGTGTAGGGCGTGGAGGGCACCGGCTTGGCCTTCATTGCCTTTACGGAGGTGATGGCCATGTTCCCGGGCAGCCCGTTCTGGTCCACTCTGTTCTTCCTGATGCTCCTGAACCTGGGCCTCAGCACCATGTTTGGGACCATGCAGGGAATCCTCACCCCCCTCATGGACAACTTCAGCCTCCTGGGACGCCACCGCACGCTGCTCACAGGTCGGTCGGCCTCTCATAGGACACGTTGTGATTCTTCTGACTTCAGTGGATATTGGGCTCAGTTCCACTAAGTTCTTAAAGAGTAGGAAACGTCTACAGACTCAGGGGAGGACTTTTTCTCTCTTGGATTGAGCAAAAATGTGCTTAGACACTATTTCCTTTTGTAAATAATTAATAGTGTTATGGTACTGATTATAAATAAAACTGATCATATACACTAATTTGTTAATATATCAACACATAACTTACCGTACTCTCAGCTTACATAGTAAAATTATCTAAATGAATCAAATCATGTTTAATTATCAGTGAAGAACAAATGCTTGTTTTTAAAGACCTGAGGGCGAGGGTTTCTGAAGCAGGATCCTGTTCGTTCAGAAGGCTCCATGATGTTAGTTCAAATAACATTAGTAATGTTCAGTAATTACTGATGGTGTAACCAGAAAGTATTCTGTTTGTACCTGTAATCAAATATTCTAAAGTATTTTCAGAGAAATATGTTACTCTAGTATTTGGAACTGAGTTACACCAACATTGATAATCAAATTGTTACAGAACTAAAAAAAAAAGGATAATAATGATCAACAAAAATACTATGATAAGTCAAAAAGGAGACAGTCACTCGTTCAAAAACAAGGTCGATCTGAACATATTGAAATAGTATTTGATGGCATGAGTTATTTATAATTGTTACTTTCACTGTAACAATAAGAGAGGGGATTAGTTCTGTGAGGATGTCAGAGTGTGTGGTGTTTGCCCCGCCAGTTCCATGACGCCAGTTTCTCTGTGTGTGTGTTTTTGTGTGCCAGTGTCCAGCTGCCTTTTGGGCTTCGTGATCGGACTGCTCTTTACCCAGAGATCTGGCAACTACTTTGTCACCATGTTTGACGACTACTCTGCGACTCTTCCGCTGATCATTGTGGTGATCTTTGAAACCATTAGTGTGTCCTGGGTTTATGGCACAGACCGGTAAGAATCTATCTATCTATCTGGAAATAAAACTCTCACAGATTTGAGCATACTGGTATTGTACTTCACCTCTTCAGTTTTCTGGATGACATTGAAGTTATGCTCAAGTGGCGCCCTCCAGTGGTCTACAAGTACCTTTGGAAATATGTCTGTGTGTTTGCAATGGTGGGTCTTCTGGCTGCAAGTTTCCTGCGTATGGTTCTCAAAGGGCCCACGTACACAGCCTGGAATCAAGACACAGTGAGTGATAAAAATACATGTGCACATAATATGTATCTGCATGCACTAAATCATGTTTTTACACAGGCCTCCGAGAAGACCCTGGCCTACCCCGGCTGGAGCCTGGCTATGATCGTCTCTCTGATAGTGTTTGCCAGTCTGCCCGTCCCCATCGCCTACATCCACTCAGTGATACAGAGCCGCAGGATCCGCAGCATCAACTCTGAGGAGAGAGACAGCCCAGACATGCACAGGGAGCGCTACACCAAGTGTAACTCTGTTGAGCAGCTTGACTTCAACCATCAGGACCACTCTGAAGAGCAGGAGGCCCCCCGGGTGGGGCCCATATTCTTACCAGGGGGACATGAACTGTACCGACTCCTGCCGCAGCAGGAGGACAATGAGGAGCAGGACACGGGGGTTTGAGCCCTGCTTCACAAAGGCCAAAACTGTTTACTGCCATTCACTTTAACTGTGCATCATGTGTCACGTCTTATTCTACCTCAGTATTTTGTATTATTATTCTCTGAGACTTGCAAAAGAAATGCAACTCTGCATTGAAGGAAGAAGCACAAATGATGGTTGAAACTATTATTTTTAGGTACAGGAATCTGTCTCTAGCAAGTGCCTGCCATTGGAAAGGCAGCTACTTACAGTATGTGCACAAGATCTTTGACGTATTGACTCCAAACATTTAGAGTTTTGCATGAACATTCTACCTGCAGTGAGGAGTGGCCAGGCTGAACTAGCGAGGGTACTGTGTTTTCACTGTTTCTTTGTAAACGTGTTAGATCCAGATGAAGATTAACCCACCTTTATATTTGCTAAATTTGTATTAGTTTGCTTTATGGCAAAGCACAATGTTTCAATGAAATAAAATTACAAACAAATGGATCCATTGTCACCTCACTCATGATGCTTTCTCTGTCACGTTTCACTTTCCATTTTTACTTTCACTTTAAGCTCTCATTTTGACACATATTGATGACGTTTTTCTTTTATCAATTCGATCTTTCAATATCACAATAAAAGGACGGGTTTGTTACATTGCACTGCCTCGTACACGGCCATGTGCGGCTGGCCCTGGCCCTCAGAGCCTCAGATCCTGGGAGCCTGGAAGGGACCTGGGACTCGGCAGTGAAGGAGGAGCCGCTGCGCAGCTCGTGGCCGGAGGAGAGAGAGGCAGCGCGGTCAGACACAGCGGAGCGCAGCGGTGGGACCAGGAGCTGCAACCATCAACCATGGAGATCCGCCCGGACAGGTTCAAGGCTGCTGCGGCCAAAACTCTGGGCAAAATTAACAGGTAAATGACTTTTTACTCTCACTTTTCTCAACATTCGCTCTGAAGTCTCCAGACGCAGCGGACAGTTTCGTGTGTGGCATTTTCTTCATCCTAAATCTGAAGTTCGCTTTTTTTATGTTTAACTTGATTTTAATTGATTGTTTATATATGTAAATCATGCGTATGCGTAGTCTAACTTCAGTTTTGCAGTTTATTATTATTAATATATATTATTGCTATTTTCGTTGGGATGGGCGGAGTGATATGAGAGATGCTTGGGAATAAAATTATAAGAAGAAAAAAGCACATAATGGTCATTTGCACTAGATTTCACGAGTTTCAATGTTAACAGTTGCTTGTGGGGGTTTTTCTTGTTCTTTTGCGTGTTGGCAGCAGTTGGAGTGGATTTTGGAGACGTGTGAAACCATAGTGTCATTACATAATATTGATGAGATGTTGGCACTGCTTGTTCAGGAGCAGCTTGGACCCGTGTAGGCAGAAGCTTAGATCTTATTTCAGGAGTGTGTGGAGTGAGGCAAAGTAGTAGTTTTCTATTTTATTACACACAAATATCAACCCGTTATGACTGAACAAATAACCAGATTATGGCAAAAAAAAAAAAAAAAGTCATCTTGGTTCATAGATTGAGTCATTATTTCAAGCAATGATGTCAATACAATAGGAAGAACAAGCTAAATGGAAGAGTTTTTTTTATTGTACACATATTTATAATGATAATTACTATAGAATATTTGACTTTTTTTGCGTTTCCTTCAAGATAAAGACAATATAGGCAAGGCAAGTTTATTTGTATCGCTCAATTCATACACAGGGCATTGAAATTTTGAAATATTTTAACAGCTCAACATAACAGTTGTTAATATCTATCTATTCATCTTTGTATCAATCCAAAATTCCTAAAACATTTACTGTAATCTTACATTTTGGCAGTTCAATTGCCAACTGTAATCAAAAATCTCTACAAACTACAAATATGCCATATTTACAGATATTTTTTGCCCACTTTAGTTATTTAATCAAAACTAGTGCCATTTTGCTGCAAATGTGAAGCATGGTGCACTTTTCATTCCATTTTTATTTAGTTATATCTGATAATATTGCTATTGTGTGACACTTTAAGCTTTCTCTCAGGATTTGAGGTAGAAACGAACGTATAAATCCCGTCCTGAAATAGCCTGTTTTTTCAGTCCAGCTGTCAACCATGCAAATCCGCACTGACTCCACCCCTTTTGCTTCCACCCCAGCCAAGGGACTTCCTCCGGTCCTCCATCCTCCACCCTCCACCCTCCACCCTGCACATAGGTGTCTGCCTCTGGGTCAGATTAACAGCACATCAGCAGTCCCATGAAGCCACGTGATGGATGGCTCATAGATTCTTCTTCAGCTTAACTTCTCAAATGGTCCCAGTCCATCACACGTGCGTTGCTCATAGTGGAAAAGGGCATCTCTGCATGGTGTGAATATGTTATATAGCATGCACAGACTAACTGTGATCCCCCATGATGAGAGCAGCCAAGAGCTTATTTATTATTTAAGCATGTCTCCATCAGAATGCATGCCCTCTTGTTTCTAATTCCAACCTCACAAAGTAAGCACGAACTTCAGAGAGAGTTCAACCGGCTCTTGCCCCCTTTTGACATGTCAACCTGCTTTGGAAGAAGAAAACACACGCACAGTTCAATAATCACTCGCTGAAAGTCGATTTGACGATGGATATACTGTATGAGGACGTTCCCATATGGCCATCCTTCTCCTGAGATTCTATTTTATATACAGAAAATATGGTAGAGAGATAATGTAGATCCGTTTTCTCTTTAAATTTGATATTTTAAAGTTTGACAGTGGTTTTCAGTGGTGAACAATACCCATAACTTCTTGCATCTTTATGGAGAAAACATATACTCAAGTACAGTATGTGATTTTCAACTAAAAAGGGCAGTATGTAATAGTAAGTAAGTAAGTAAGTAAGTAAGTTTTTTATTTATATACCGCCTTTTCACTGCAGATCTGAGTCTCAAAGCGGTTTACAATTGTTAATTTTTGGGCATTTGTCTCTCACTCCACACAGAGATGGGAGCGGGGTCGCCAGTACAGGAAGCGCATGCCAGAACTATTGGACATATTTTTAGTGGTAGGGGAAACCGGATTACCCGGAGGAAACCTACGCAGACACGGGGAGAACATGCAAACTCCACTCAGAAAGGCCCTGGTCCGACCGGGATTCGAACCCAGGACCTTCTTGCTGAGAGGCGAGAGTGCTATCCACTCAGCCACCGTGCCGCGGTAATAATAATAATAATAATGTGGAGTTTGTTCATATTTTTGCAGAGGAAGATTCTGGCAGTAAAAGCTGGATTGAATTTTAAGGACTCCATTAGATTCCGTGTGTCATCCGTTCTTTTGATGTTCATTAGATCACTAAGAGAGCTTATATTACATATCTTTTTTTTTACAAAAGTTAAACAGCACAAATACTGGAATCTTAGCCCCCAGTGGACTGGTGTTGAATATTCGCACCTGAGCTATAACACTTAAAGCAATGCATCTTGTTCGTCCAATGTTATTGTTATGTCAATATTAAATAAATAAATAAATCAAAATAAGATTATAGAGGCGATTTTTGTTCATAGAAACCTTGATAAAGTTTGTGGTAGTTTGGCTTTTGTTCTCATGTACTCCTGTCCTCTTGAGGAGTCCAACCAAGCCCCGGTGATCCAAGATGACGCTGTATTCAAATGAATGGCTTGTGCTCAGTAGCGCATGGGACTTACAGGAGGACCAGTAGATTAGCAGAACTCGGCTATGTTTGGGCATCGTCTGGTCCTCCCGGTTCTGCGTAGTGGACAAGATCCCATGATGCATTGGGCCAAATACGCGTGTGTGGCTCTCATGCACGTGCACAGAGGGGCTCGGCTGTGCTTTGACCAATCAGAGCTGCTGATCAGAACAGCAGCAGAGCGGGAAGGAAACGAGAAGAGTTTGTGGCAGTAAAGTGTGGATTTACAGAAAACCGAAGGATTTAAGAAGAAAAAAAGTTGAGGATGACAAGGGACACAAGAATCACACAAAAATATATGAAATGTATGACCTTATGTAAGCTGTAGTTCTCTTGTACATCTGAGGTCGAGCTGTTTTTAATTTACGCTGAGCTCTTTTTTTCTGGGTAGCCCGTGTGAATATAGTCTGACAGTACCACAGCGCCCCCCTGTGCCCATGGGTGGAAAGCTTTAAGCTAGTAATACCCTATCTTTTATTAATTTATAGATCCATGATTCCAACTCCGAGAATGAAATCCATGGGAAACTCCTCTTTGTGTTGATTGTTTGCCCTGCATTCTTGATGGTGTTTGTCTCTTGAATAATTATTTTAAAAAGACACATTCTCACTGTGAACTGCCACACCGCTTCACAGATCTGACCTGTGATTAGGCCATGGGACTGTTCACTATCATACTCGATTATCTTATTGATCTAATGATAGACAATACGTCCTTCGCGTACAGTACATAATGCCCTGAATGGAATGCTTATTTGATCATAGATGAGTTGAGATGATATTGCGTTAGTTTGTGTGAAGGTCACATGTGTGCACGGGACGGGGGCAGAGCGTGCTTCGTGACTGGATGGGGAGGTGGGGGTCTCCCCTGGGTGACACTGTCCCCACCGAGACCCCAATCTGTTTCTCCATTCAGGGAGAGGAGAGAGAGGCGGAGGAAGGGTTACACCGCTGTACTCGCGAGTAGTGTTCATCTTTTCATGAATACTTTTGTGGAGGTTGTAAATCAGTGAATGTATATATTCAAATTTGATTTGATTTGTGTCAAATTTGCCATTCTCAGCGTCTATTTAAGTTTGAGCGAGTTTAAGTAAGTTTAACCATAATCATGTTCTTTAAACCGTTAGAAAAATACAATAAACAGTGGGAGGTAGTGTAGCACGAGTGGTCCAAGCGCCAGAAGAAAAGCAAATGTCCCAAAAGTTTGCCACAAAAAGGTGACAAGGTCTTTCCCCAAAAACAACATGGAGGGTCAACCTCAAGAATGTCAGATACATAGAGAGAAACCCATACTCACCCCCCCCAGGTTGGTGAGTCAAATCCTTTATCATTGTGTCCCATGGTCAGAAATAAGCACTATTCTGAAAAATAATATTAAGATGAAGCCTTTGTTCATGGGGAAGTGTTGCGTCACAAGATACAGAACAGTAGGAATGAGGAGCAGACAAGATCTTAGGTACAGCACGAGGCATGTCACAATTACACTGTTTTCTTGACGATAAATTGTCAAGAAATGTTTGTGATGAACAATAATAACGCCATGAATTAAAGAATAGCCATTTTGGGGCCTTTTCCACTTAATGAAGACCAAACAGCATAAAACAGCAGATAGACCATTAGAAAGACCAATACACTTTTACTTCTTAAAACATTTAACACTGTTCTGAAACTGGGAGACACTTAAACTCAGTCTCAGTTAACCAAAAACAGTCCTAGAAAAACAAAATAAACAAATAGCAACAATGGACTCTTTGATGTCCCTGATTATTTTGAGGCAACTCATACTGTGGGTCAAATGTGTGCAACGTTCTTCGAAATGCAGGATCCCAACGATATTAAACGGCAGTATTAACTTGTCCAATAATAAGACCACGCTGTCGGTCCGTTTGCAGCATTCTGGGCGGTCTTGTTTGTCACTTTGTTAGACGCAGCGATGAGAAGAGGACATTATCATCACCTTTGAAAGTTTGAGATATCCAACAATATCTTAATCATTTTCCCAAACCTCTGAAACATTTGAAAACAACTGTATTCTGTGTGGAGAAACATATCAAATAGACCATTATAATCCTTTATTTTGGTACTTTAAAGGGCTTTCACATAGATTTTAAAGAGTTTTTCCTCAGTGTGTCTTGATATGGGCTTCGAACACAGTGATGAAAACCTGTGTGTAGCTTGTTTTTACTTTTGGGCACAAATTACCAAAGGCATTATTAATGCAAGTG